CAAGGCCAGTCTAGGCATCTTAGTGAAATCCTGTCTCTCGCACACACAAATTACTTTTATTACATAGCAAATATTTCACATTCTTTGGGATTTTTCTTTTCTGTGGATCTGTTTAATCCTGTTCCTTTGGTAAGGCAGATATCCTTTCACTATTCATATAATGATCTTTAAAAAAGTTTCTAGTCTTGCATGTTTTATTTACTTTTTATCTGCATTCATTTATTTTCTTTGCGAAAGACTTAGTTAACTTGCTCCTGCTAGCCTCCTGCTTGTGGTTCTCCAGTCTCAAGTTTCTGAGCGCAGGCATTACAGGCATGTGTCACCAGGCCTAACCTCTCCTCCGATCCTCTACCACATTTTAGATGAAGAAAATTAGGGACAGTTTATGTTCCTTTCCTCAGTTAGACCCATAATTATAATTCATAATATACAAAACACTGACCTAAGATTGTGGAGGATATTAAGAGAAAAAGGATAGAATTCTTGCATTCAGAGCCAAGCACAGTGGCCCGCACGTGTAGTCACAGCTACTTGGGGGGCTAAGGCAGGCCTTGGCAATTTAGAGAGAACCCAGTCTCAAAACAAAAAATGATAGGATCTGTAGTCCCAGGAGGAGGCTGGGAGTCTGGGAGGCTGAGGCAGGAAGATTACAAGTTTGAGCCCAGCCTGGGCGATTTAGCAATTTATTGTAATCTGTCTCAAAATAAAAATCTAACTCAGTGTGAAGGATCTGAGTTCAACTCCAGTATTGCCCTCTTTCGTCTGAAAAGTGCCAGAAGTGTGGGGTTCAATCCTCAGGAGGAGTGGGGTGAAGGCAGTGCTTGCTCTTTGCAAGTAAGTAATGTATAAAGTACCATTTATAATCTGAATATGAGAAAGAGGCAAGATAAAACTCATAGCAACAGACATGTTGTACAGAGTTAAATATTTATTAGATCTTAACACTGAGCACACCCATGGAAGTGGTGGAGCCTGCCATAGGTGTTTAATGAGGTTGTTGCAGCAGATTTATTACCGGTTCCCCTAGGCTATCTTAAAGTTGTAAAGTGTGGAACAGATGCCGCCTTATTTTGATACAGCACTTCTGAAATCTAAGTACATAGGGATTCTTCTTTTGATTTTGTATTGTGTGTGTGTGTGTGTGTGTGTGTGTGTGTGTAAAGGTCAGAGCATTCCAGACCTTGAAGGTCTGGAATTACAGATATTTTGAATTCCTGAAGTTTCAGCTCACTTTGCAATGAAATTAACTAACTCTGGTTTTTCTGTTAGGTATATAGGAGTGACTTCATTTCAAACATGTTTTCAGCTGGGTGGATGAGCTAGTTGTTACACATGCCTACTTAATCTTTTTTTGTTTGTTTGAGACAGGATTTCACTATGCAGTTCAAACTGGCCTTGAATTCACTTTGTAGCCCAGGCTCGCCTCAAACTTGCAGAGATCCTCTTGCCTCAGCCTCCCAAATGCTGAGGATTACATGTATGCACCATCAGGCCTGGCTTTGCCTACTAATCTTATTGCATAGAATATTTTTTCCTGCCAATTCTTTATCTTGTTATTCTGGTAACTAAATCTAACTACCTTATAACTTAAAAATTTATGACCAAAGCCCCAGGATTTGTATTTAGTGATCCTTTAATTACCTTATACAAAATATTTATTGTGAACCGAGTTATAATGGCTTTGTTGATCATTTATATATGACACAATTAATGTGTTTTAAATGCACAATGTGGTGGTCACAAGCAGAAGTGCCCAGGTATTTTTTTTTTTTTTCTTTTTATCGGTACCGGGGATCGAGCTCATGACTGCCTGCTTGCAAGGCAGGTGCTTATGCCGCTGAGCTAAATCCCCAGCCCCTGCCCAGGTATTTTTAACAGATGCATAAAAAAGAGAAGCGGGGTGGGGATGTAGCACAGTGTTAGAATGATGGCCTGGCATGTGTGGGCCTTCGGTTCTATCCCTAGCACTCCAAAATAGATAGATAGATAGATAAGTAAACAGAAGAGAATTTGCTCCAGGAAAATCTAGATAAGCTCTAAGATAGCTGAGTGTTAAACTGAAGAATGAAAGGGATTTTAAGACATAGACACAGGAAACAAGGCCATTCTAGGTACTGGAGGATCCTAATGCTATGCTAAGTACCAGAAATGGACTAAAATGTGTTAGATACCTCATAATAATGTTACAGCCCCTTATCTATGTTATATCTTCTAGATAAGTTACAAGGTGCTGGGGGATTTTATTGACATCCGATAGCTAAGATAAGCCTGAGGATAACAAATGGGATGGCCAGTGCTGGGCCAAAGATATGATCAGGCCCCAGGAGAGTCCACAATAGAGCACTCTAGTGATCAGCTGATACAATCTCAGGCTGGGAGCTCTTATGGGAGACCTGTAGAGCTTCAGAAACTAACTAGGTTGGCTTATGCGTTTATTTTTTTGAGTACTTCTATGTCCCAGGCACTCTTCTAGGCATTACAAATATGACAATAGATAAGATAAACTGTAGCTTAGCTTTCCCAGGGCCACTGTTCTAGTACAAAACATGGACATTAAGAAAGGTAAACACACCAATCTCATGGTAACTTACACTGTGACAAGCAATTGAGATATATAGATCTGTCTATCTATCTACGTAATTCTTGTCTATATTATTACTGTGATAGAAAAACAGTGAGAAGGTCTGTTTGGGACAAGTTTTGAGTAAAATCTGAGTGATAAGAAGACATACAGAAGGAAACCAGTCCGCAGAATTCATGAAGCAAGAAAAACCATTAGAATACCAGCAGCATAGAAATAAGAACCGCTGGAAGGAACAAGCAGAGACATTTGCAAACTAACAAGAAATACAGGCTGTCTTAAAAACTACGAATTCTCTAACCCCTGTTGTCTACTAAGTGTATGCAAAACTGAACGTATGTGTTTCGTCTGCCATTTTTATTTTGCTACAGAATCTATCAAATCAAAGCATTCTACTTATTGATCTGCCTATTTAGCTAATCACTTCCATGTTGTTGCCAAGTTTTAGTTCTTATCAATAATTCTGCAGTTAATATTTTTGTACACACTTGTTGTGTACTTGCATGAAATTTTAAAAAATATACCTGATATTGAAACTGCTAGGAGCTAAAGGAGTTCTAGCATCAATTGTATTTAACGTTAAAATTTTTTTCCAAAGTTTTTTTTTTCAATTTTTAAATTTTTTGATCTTTTTGAGACAGGGCCTCGCTATGCAGTTCAAGCTGGACTTGAGCTCACTTTGTAGCCCAGGCTGGTCTCAGACTTGCAAAGATCCTCTTGCCTCAACCTCCCAAGTGCTGGGAGTGCAGGCATGCACCATGATGTCTGGCTTTCTAATACTTTTTTAAATTAAAAAAGTGAACACTTGGCAAATTTAGAATTAATCTCTCCCTCTGCTCCAGTTTAACGTGACCCCAGTTTAACTTGCCCCCAGTTTAATGCGTTTCTCCTTGGTTTCCCGTGTCTTGATTATGAATTATCGTGACACGTCTTCATAAGCTTTTGGGCTATGTTGATTATTTAATCCTAGACTGGAAGGAATGCATATCTAGTGTTTTATATAGTACGTTTTTTCTTTTTGGTGCGGGGTACTGAAATCAAGGTGTCATCATGTAGTACACGATTTTAGAAACATGCCCAAGCTTACCTGGGTCTGGCAGTGCACATCTGTAATCCTAGCTACTTGAGAAGCTGGGGCACAATGATCAACAAGCTTGAGGCCAGAACGGACAACTTAGTAAGGTACTGTCTCAATGTAACCGAGAAAAGGGCTGAGAAGGTAGCTCAGCGGTAGAGCATGTGAGTACAGTGTTTGAAATCTTGGGTTTAATCCCCAGCATTGCAATAAAAGGACCAGGGGCAAGGCTGAATCAGCTTTCTGGCTGTATTGGGAACTTTATAGTTTAGGAATTGTTCTTCAAGGGTATTTTTTGTTGTTGTTGTTGTTTTGATTTGGTACTGGGGATTGAATCTGCGACCTGGCTAAGCTAAATCCTCCCACCCATGTATTTGTTTAATTTATAGAAGTTAGTACACTCTTTTTGAACAATCAGAATATGTTTGTGTGATTCAGTTACATTAAACATTTTGAATATTAATTTCATTTACTACAAAAATGTATGTATCGTGTTAAACACTGCAGAGAAGGCAGATTCTGAGGTTAAATCCTACTCCATTTTTTCCATCAGTAAATAAAACTACAAGAAAAAATTAGGAAGTTTCCCCCAAATTACTAGGAGATTATCTAGTTTCCAGCATTCCCTTAAGTGTTGGACACAGCTGTTACGAGACACTGATACTAAGGACTTAAGAGTAGAAGTTGTGAACTTTTAGGGTCTACTCATGGGTATCCTGATACGCTCAACCAGTTTCTCTAGCACTATATCAAAAAACTTATTTTTCTTTCCTTCCCTTAAGTTCTCATCTCATCTGGTTTGTTCTTCCTACCTTTGAATAATTCTCAGTATGGTCAATCATCTGACCCTAAAAAATACTTCCTGAAGTGTTATATTTGTGTTAACCAAATATTATAACTAAATTAGTTTCAGGTATTGTGATATCGATATTTTGTCAATGGGAATTTAGGTGCTACCATAATACTTGGTCCTTAGTACACAGAAACCCCAAGATCACGACGCCCAAGTTCACTCAGCTTTCCCAGTTTATGCTAAATTCAGTGGTTGATACTGGGGTTATTCAAGGACCTGTGCTGCGCCCTCTCTTCCCCTGCAAAGTTCCTAAACCCTAACTCAAGCCCTGTGCCCCATGACTATCTTGATTTGGTGAGCTCTATGCTTTGCAGAGTTTAGGCTCATCCCGGAGCAGGAGTCCTACGTCTTTCTAACCAGCGGCTCTGCAGGGTGCACGAGTAGGAGCCCAATGCAGAGCAGCTGGCCCTTTGTGCAAGGAGCCCGGATACCCGGCTGGCTTATGACGTACCGAGACTCCGCCCCCGGCGTGACGCCAGCGTCAGGCCAGTCCCGGCATCCTCCGCGGCCGACCGCGGCGGAGCGCACAGAGAAGTCTTGCCCGTGAGCGGCCGCGGCGCAGTTCCGTTGCTGTCCAGATCCCGCTCGGCCACGGTGCCGCCTCTAGCCGTCTTCCTACCGCTCGTCCGTCCACCCGAGCGCCCCTAGCCCTCCCACGAGGGCGCCCCGGGACGGAAGGAACCACCAGCCTGTCGGCGCCCGCCGTTCTCGTGGTCGCCGTCGCCGTCGTCGTCGTGGTCGTCTCCGCCGTCGCCTGGGCCATGGCCAATTACATCCACGTCCCGTCCGGCTCGCCGGAGGTGCCCAAGCTGAACGTCACGGTGCAGGATCAGGAGGAGCAGCGCTGCCGGGAGGGGGCCTTAAGCCTCCTGCGACACCTGCGGCCGCACTGGGACCCTCAGGAGGTGACCCTGCAGGTAACGCCCACACTTCAGTCCTCACCCCCTGACGTCCCCAGGCGGCCATGGGGTCCTCACCGCAAGCCCCTCGATTCCGACGGGCCGCGAGGGCCTTTGGAGCGTCCTCCATCCCCGGCCCTTCGAAAAACGACCCTGTGGTTCCCCCATCACACCTGGGAAGGTCACTCCCCCTTCTTCACAGCTGCTTGTTAAGATTGCCCTGGGGGCATATTTTCTCTTTCTAGAAGCCGCTACGTAGGCGACGCACCCTTTCTACTCCAAGAGGGAAGATTCCGGTGATAGTTGCCCCTCCTCCCACCCCTCAGTCGGTTCTAACTGTAAAACGAACCTTTTCCACTCCCCTTGCACGGGATCCTCTGCTGCCGCCTCAGTCAGTAACTTCCTCCATCCATAAATATTGCACTAATTAATCCTCCCCGATCTTTTCCTCTCCCTCCCTCACCGGGCGATTTCCTCCTCTTGACACCTTGATCTGCATTTTATCTTTCCAAATCCTCGGATTGGCTAGTGTTCCATTCCAAAGTAATGATCCTGGCCGTGCATTCTAGATTTAAGTTTTTAGGTAGCACTGCATACGTTTTTTTTTTTTTTTTTTGCTTAGATTGGTATTTCTAAATGTATAAATTGTAATAAAATTAGTACTCATGCTAGAATGAGCAGTGACTGAGGAATATTTGCTTTTCTTGGAGATAGGAATATTTGCTTTTCTTTATAGAGCTGGGGAGAAAAATAAAAACCTCAGAATCTAGAAATTTTCAAGTAATTTATGATTGCCTTGTATAATGCTAATTTTGAATTTTTTTAGGTTTAGTGGTAGTTTAGGAATTATTTGGAAAAATGAACCTCCTTTGCTCTTATATCCTTGCAAACAACAAAAAAATCTCAATAATTTTAAAGACTGGAATATTTAGGGGTTGTAAGAATATTATTTGAATTAGTCAAATCATATGCCTCATTTTGATGCTTTCAATTAATTGTTGAATTTATATAGCAGTGTTTATTGATTGCTTCCTTGTTGAAATCTTTACGAAAGTAGCCATCCATCTATACAAAGATGAATAAAACCCAGAACAGGCCTAACACTTGGGCTTTTTTGTGTTAGTTTCAGTTCTTATTGCCTAGAAGAATTTTGAGCACATTAAAAGGAACCATATGTTTTCGGGGAAAATTGTGAGACAAATGTTCAAAATTTTAAGGGAGTATTTGTTGACCTTGTATATATGCAGTAATGAATTCAATATTTTTATAATTAAAAAGTATATTTCCTTTAAGGAACTAACTTCCAAACTGGAACTTGTATTTGTCTGTTCTTTATTGTGGTGCTGGGGATTGAACCCTGGGCTTTGCACGTGCTAACAAGTGCTTCACTGTGAGCCTCATCCCTAGTCTTTATGCTTTCTTGTTATTTATTAACTGATTTTCATTTTATTTTCCATGGTTCTAAAATTTATTAAAGTGACTTATTTTCTGGCAGTCCATCATAAACATATTTTTTATTACTTAAAGGCAGTGCCACTTCCTGGTAAACTGCATTACTAACAAATCATAGTAGTTTTTAAGCAGTAACTTTAAAGTTTGAAGATTTGAAGGCTGGGATTTCCTTTAATTCTTTGTCTATAGAATAGTAATAATAGCTATGTTGGGGTCCTATGTGCTAATTTTTTGTAATTTAATTGTCCAAACAAAGGTGGTATCTTTTTTTGAGTAAAACTCAGTGAAAGAAAGCCTAGATACAGGCAAAAAGGACAAAAGGTACTAACATCTAAATGGTTTTGATTGTTAGAAAGTAACTATTTGTGATGCTATTCATTGCTGTGTGGCAGGTTTGGCCTTTCCCCTTTGGGCTCATAAACTGAACTGCTAGTTTGTGATGGTAAATGCTATCACTTATTTTTTCAGAAGGTGATTATTTAGAAGTGTATTCCCCCCATGTGTGTACAAAGCTTTTGTTCTAGAAGCTAAGGACGTGGATAAACTGAAGTGGTGATGATTCACCATACAACTCAATATATCTGACGTCCTCACATTCTGGTCCATTACAAACTACACTTGATCTTAGCCAGAGGTCTGGGAAGTGGTAAGTCATTATAAACTCTAATGATGCCTCAGGATTTCCTTAGTAAATCTTAGTAAAAATGTTTTGAGCTTTTATCTTGGAACTCTACAGATAAAAATTACACCTCTGTATTTCAGAAGAGAAGGCATGAATTGTATAGTGAACAAGTTAGAATGTAATTTTAGGAAATTGGGTGTCAATAATGTAGTTTGTTTATCTTGGAATAGGTCTGGATAATGTAGCTCAGGCAGGCCTTGAATTCGCTGTGTAGCGCAGACTGGACTCAGACCCATAGCTCTCCTTCTGCCTGGCCCTCCTGAGTGCTGGGATTGCAGGCCTGCACCACCGCATCTGCCTGTGTTGCCCCCTATTTTGCTGGGAACTGAACTCAAGGCCTTGAGCACAGGCAAGTGCTGAACCACTGAGCTATATGCTTGTCCTACTCTTTTTTTTTTTTTTCTCCCAAAATTTTCTTTAATTTTTAGGTGTTGAGAATACGCTTTCAGTATACTTTAGTTTTCTGTAGTAATATTTATTTGGAACTTCTGGAGAATGTCAAATTTCAGAGTGTGCAGAGAAGATACAAATGCAATAAAAGTGACAAAGGGCCTAATCTTTGCTCAAAACTTCTGGGCACATGGAATAATACGGCAGATTGGACCCCATTTTCTGCTATTACAAGGGGTTGTAAGTTTTTTGGAGTACAGTGAGAAGGGCAGAGTGGATCTAACACAGTGCGATAGTACCAACCCCATTGCTTTATATTTCATACAATTTTTACTGTTCGTAAAGTACTTTCATCTGTATTCTCCCAGCTATCCTGTGATGCAGGCAGGTACTGTTAAATGTGTATTTTATAGTTAATGAAACTGAACTTGTGGTTTGTAAATGACTGATCTAGGATGAGAACCCATCTTGTAAATTACTGCTCGTTGACCAAGAAGAGGTTGTGTTCATATATGATGAAGAATGCAGGGAAGCCATGTCTTTATACGATTAAAAAAAGTGTTGGCTCTTAAAAAAGATTTTGTTTTAAGTTCCCTTGAACATAAATTTCATTCCTTTTTCCATATGTGCCACTATTTTAGAATAGGGATTCCTTCAGCTTTCTTTTAAGATACTTTTTATATAACCACCCTCTCCCTGTCACTTACTTGAATTTGAATTTTTTTTTTTATACTTTTTTTTTTGTCTTTTTTGTTTTTATCCGTACCAGGGATCGAACTCACGACTGCCTGCTTGCAAGGCAGGCACTTATGCTGCTGAGCTAAATCCCCAGCCCGAATTTGAATTTTTGATTTATCTGTATTTCTTTAGTCATCGTGTAAAGGAAGAATAAAGTCAGATCTGAGGCTCAATAGAATCATTCTCCAAAGATTCTTAAAATTGTTTTTCTTCTAAAGATGCCAATGAATTAGTGTTTTGTATATTCTGTTACGTTGTCTTAAGGTCTGCATTGTTGAACCTTTTTTTTTTTTTAATTGTCATTATTTACACTTTTTTCACAACTTGGGACCTGTGTGTAATCCATAATGACAAAGTCTTGAGAGAGACCATGAGGTCATAGTCACTGTAACATTATTAAATTAACATGTCTATTTTTTCCCTAGGCTCTCAGTGAGATTTCTTGTCTGGTTCTCTCTCCTCTCCCCTCTCCTCCCCTCCCCTTCCTTTGTTTTTTTCTATTGATCTACATCCCAAGCTCTTTTTAAATCTTTTTTTTTTTGGTACCAGGGAGCGAACTCAGGACCTTGCACTTGCCAGGCAGATGCTTATGCCTCTGAGCTATGTCTGTGGCTCTTTTTAAATCTTTTTGAGACAGGATTTCACCAAGTCATAAGTTGTCTAGCCTGGTTTCGGCATCAGCCTCTGGGTTGACAGGTGTGTGCCTCGTCAGGCTTCCATTCATTTTTTTTTCTTAAAGAGCAGTATATTAATAGTAGTCAAGAATGTGGTATTTAAGCAGTGCACATTTTGAGTTGAGACTATTTTACAGGCTTCTTTTTCTTGGTTAAGTTACTCGGCCTTTTTAGCACTTAGTACCCTTCACTGTAAAGTGAACCTAAGGGTTGTTGTGAGGGTGAAATAAAAACTGTGTGAACAATTATTGTTGCTGAGCACCTAAACATTGGATGCCAGAATTGAAAAACAGACATCTGCTTTTTGAAATTCTGAGTCTTTTGGGGAGACAAGAAAATAAATTACAGTATCTTGGGGATGAATAGATTTTTTTCACATGCAGAAGCTATGTTAAAATGTTTAAAGAGTGTATTGTTCTTTCTGGTGTACTATGAGCTTTTGCATTTTAAGAAAGTTTTTTTTTTGTACTAGGTTTGAACTTGCCCTGTGCCTGCTAGGCGGGTGCTGTACCACTGAGCAATTTTTAAATTTTATTTGTTAAGCACACATACACTAGTTTTGGAACTGGTGTATTGGCATGTAGCTACAGATCACTGTTCATATATCCTTGCTTGTTTTCTAACATTTTAGAGTTGGTTACCTAAACATTCTGTTAAAAATTCATAATCTCTTAATTTAACATTGGTACTTAATTTTGATATTGTTCTCTTTTTTAAGAAAAGAAAAACTGATTTGCAGTTGCTGTGTTGAGTTGTGTCTTCAGTGTTGTAAACTTACACATTTACCTTTTTTTTTTTTTTTTTTTTTTTTTTTTTTTGTGGTGCTACAGATCTAACACCTAGATGTTAGGCTGGGTGTTAGCCTAACATCTAGGCTAGATGCTAGGCTAAAATGCTACTGCATTCTATGCTAGTGTTCTACTACTGTGCTATATACCCTTAACCTGGTGTTCTAATTTTATAATTAATTTTCATTTTTATTTTTAAAAGGATGAATTTAAGCCTTACTTTGAACAGTACAAATTGCTTTAAAAAATTAAGCAAATTAATCTATTAAATTTACTAGAAAGATATATTTATAG